GAACAAATTTAACTAATGGATTCAAGTGTCCAATAGCTTTATTTATTTATTTATTCATTTATTTGGTCCTGAAATAATTCCAAATGGTCATTTACCAAATATTCTGAGCAGGTACACTTTGAGTAGCTGGGGTAGGTCAGACAGTGAAATACAGTTACATAAAATAATTGATTAATCCAACTTTAGAGAGAAGAATTATACCACCGAACAAGTACATTAAAATTTTATGATTATAAACTGAAATGGCATGAATAAGAAAAAGTAAAAACTTTAGATCTATAACTTTTAACCTGACCCCAGAGATTTAAAAAGCTGTTATTGAACCCGACTCTCTCCTTACTTGATGGAGAAGACCCTGAAAGAGGAGATCCAACTCCATAGGAAAGAACAGAATTGGAAAGTTGCTCTCTGTGGATTTCTCAGGGACAGTGAAGCAGGGACCTACCTCGCTGGCATATACCCACCTGGAAGAGTTTCATGAATAACCCTAGACCTGGGGAACTTGACCAGGCAACTCTGAACAGAGAAAAGTCTAAGATGGGCCACATGGGGGAACCTGAGGGTACTGAGTCTTCTGGTCTCCTGGTCTTAGTTTTTGCGACCTTATGAGCATTCTGAATGGCCAGCATACCTGGGATGTCTTGTAAAGCTTGAGATTTGCAGTGGATAAAAAACCTTCATGAATCAGTAACACAGCCCCTGTTCCTGCCCAGTAAAAACTGGTACAGTGAGAATTGTGGGATGTAATCCAAACAGCCCCTTACTCAAGGGGGCTGACAGAACACAGGGTCAGCCACCTTCTACGAGCAAAGGAAATAAGGCATGCTGATTATTTAAGCCAGTAGAAAACAAGATAGATAAAAAAAAATGACCCCAACATATAACATTTTAAAATCTGTGAAATATGATTTTTAATCTCTGACATCCCTCACCACCAGTAACTGCCAAGTTTATATGCAGTACAGAGCTACTCCAAGCAAATTCTGACCTTTTAAGTAGATTCAGATAAACCGGACAAAGGTGAATAAATTCTAAATCAGTTAAAGAAACATACTGCAAGGTAGGAAATGATTCATAGTATTTGTCATAAAATATCTTTTAAAAAACCTAGAATGTCCCCTTTTGTGAATTAGGAATGACAAAGTCAATTTTCGCTTTATCAAGACTTTTTGTCACAGAGAAGTAATCATCTTCTTATGCTTTGATACTTGCATCATTCAGAGTTCACATTTTTATTTTAACATTAAATTGGCTTAAAATAACTTTCCTCCTTAGAAATGTGTATGGTTCTTTAAAAAACAATAAAGAACATTTTACTTATACATTTAACATATAACAAACTATCAAAGTTGATGAAAGTTATTAGTCTCAGGAGCTATGTGTATATATTTATATATATTTATATATGAATTTTTGTATTATATACATATAAATAAATATATATTTTTTAAGTAGATTCCACGCCCAGCGTGGAGACCAATGCAGGGCTTGAACTCACGACCCTGAGATCAAGACTTGAGTTGAGATCAAGAGCTGGACACTTAACAGACCAAGCCACCCAGGTGCCCCTCATGAATGCTATTCCAGCTCAAATTTCCTAACAACAATGCTCAAAGTGTACCAAAAATAACCCCACAAAAATGAAAAAATAAAGAGCCTCAAGAGAAGAACATTATTTTAGAGACAATATGATCTTTTAGAGCACAGAGATTCAATCCTATTTCTTTGTTAACAATTTAGCTCCATTTGACCAATGAACACCTCTGATTCAGGCTGCTGTCCAATGATAGTAGTCTTTGACTTTTAAGTTAATATTAGCAATGTACTTCCTTTGCATCATGGTAATGATTAGACACTGAAAGGCCCACTTCCCAAAAATGGATCCCATAGTGAACAAAAATCTTTAAGCAAATATACACTGAAAACCTGGCATTAAAGTGTTCTTCCTTAAATATATTTAAGGAGAGGAATGAATTGAATCTCTTCCATAGTACTACTTCTGGTAGCGTCTGACCCTTTCTTAGCCGTTGAGACGTTGCTTTTTGCTTCTTAAGAACAAAAACAAATAATAAAATGTACTCTTTCTCTGTAACTGACTTTCATTGGCATATTAAAAAAATATCTCCGGTTCTGATAACTGAAAATTCCAAATGCTTATATTCCTGAAAATAGGCAGGAAAGAGTTAACATGATTATTTATACTCAATCCCCACACCTGGGGGGTGGGGGGGTGGGAGTATGTTTTTTAAACCTTTAATTATAGGGATGAAAAGTAGAGGGGTCCCCACCAACTGTGAAGTCCAGTGAGGAATAAAGCATTGTAACCTCAGCTGTCAGCATAAAAAGCATCTCTCAGGAGCTTCGTTCCAACTATAATAACTTGGTGTGCTTGCTAGAAAAAAAATTTATGATCATATGAGCTTCATGCATGATTGATACCATTACTGTTTATTTTAAGACTGTCCTTGAGAATCAATCAAATAAAGCATTCCCAGTGTATGTTTTGCAACCCAGAATGAAGAACACAATATAAGTGCTTTTCTGGAGAAGATGTGATGGACTGTTCTTCCTATTAGGGCTTCCTACCAAAAAGAAATATCTAATAAAGGTGAACCAGGCAGAAATTCATGTCAGAAAATATCCTGTCATCCCATGTTCTTTGCAGTATGTTGAGTTAACCAGCAGCTACTCTTATAATTAAAAAAAAAGAAAAATAGAGATTATCATTACACATAAGGAAGTATATAAACCCAGCTAAGGATATGCTCAAGTGCTTAAAAAATAATAATTGAGGTTAATACAAACTATGAAGCATAATCTAAGTCATTAGGAAATCTCCTTTGTATCAAATAAGGTTTTTAAGGTCTCAGATGTCACCAGCCTCTTACCATTCATAATTAAATATTTGCATTGTGTAATAAATAGGGATGACATAACTTAAACACTCTAAAAATGGGAAAATAACTTTTTCTCATCAACTATTTTTTTCACATATATATTGATGAAAGGATCATGCAAATTTAAAAGGAAATGTCTTTTTTAGTAAAATCAACTTCTCTTGCATAGTAGTACCTGATTGAACTGATGGGAATTCACACTGTAAAGACACACAATAAAATTTATGTCTTCAGCCTCAAAAAGAAAACCTAATTATCATCCAGTGATGCTATTCCAACCATCTCTGAAAGCAAACCTGAGACTTTCCCCCAAGCAAGTAGCCATCAATCCAGACCCTCCCTTCTACTTCATAGGGAGCAAAATAAAACCCAGCACTTACTTTTACCCACCTTCCCCTGCCCCACCTTTCCACTATCACCATCATCACCAAAGCGAAGCAATAGGCCCTTCTGCTTACAACATAAAGATCAGCTTGCCACTTTCATTCCTTCAGTCTATAAACTAATCCCTCCTTCATCATGACATTAAAGTATCTCTTGATTTCAGTGTAAGAAAAAATCCATCTGTGGCACATAAATCCAAAAAGTTCAAATTTGCAATCAAGAGAAGTCTGGACTTTGAACCCCTTTGCATCTCTCTCTCTCTCTCTCTCTCTCTCTCTCTTTTTAATCCAGGAAACCAAAGTTGTTATTTTTCAAAAGGTTAAACAGTTTGGGTTTCTGAACTGCGGTTTTTGTGTAATACAATCGTACCTAAGGTCTCTAAACTTCTTTAACTCTTGATAATGGTTCTTACTTCTTCAAACACTTTGTTTCTCTACCCACCACCACTTATTACATGGAGTCCCCAGAACAGTTCATATAAACACAGAGTTATATTCAGAATATGGCCTCACACACAGCATTTATTATGCACACTTTGTATATCAATCTGTTACATGAAACATGTTCAAAGGCTACGCAACAGGTTCTGCTATTGTGTAAACACACACTCCCAACAGGATGACAGGCAGCTTTAAGGAATCAAGAATATATATATATTAAAAAAAAAAATCACGTTATTCTTGAGAGACTGGATTGTAATGCTTCTGAGAGGTCAGAGGACAGCAGATCTAACCAAAAGGCATGTATTTTACTAAAACCCTCTTTCTGTCTTTGTGTACCACCGGGCATGCTATAAACGGGACTCAGAGCCCAGGTGTAGACACACTTTCATTGATTTACTGCACGTCACTGCCTTTAGTGCTGAGCTGATGACAGCAAGAGTACTTTGGCAGAGGTCTAACAAGTCCTTATCCTCAACTTCCCTCCTGCTTTAGGTCCGTCTGTTCCCAAAGCAATCAAAGCAAAACACATGACAGACCCCAACCTCTCAAGTCTGGCCACGGGAGTGTGAAATCAAATTAAAAACACACCTCACAACTATTCCATCGGGCCACGTTTGTGTCCAACTGGCGGGGGAGGGGAAGAGAAGACACTTTGCAAGAGATGGATCTCATGTCCCTTCCTCTGTGCAGCCAGATCTAGTTACAGTGTATTAAGTTGTGTCTAAATGATGAGAAAAAGACCCTGCCCGGTCCAGTGTTTGCAGCACAGAGGGATGTTATTCAACCCTATCAAGTGTTCCCACGCTCTACACCCCACCCCCCCACCCCCATTCTGGAGTCTCGGATCTTGACCTCCTTTGTTAGGCACCGAACCCGGGGAGGAAGATTTCAGGAACAATACCGGGGGAAGCCCAGGATGCCCGGCCGTGCACTCCGTCCCGCCCGAACCGCTCCTTGGTCCCCAACTCTGCCTGCCCCTATTAGGGCGCACGTCTGCGAGACGCAGGACTTCGCCCCTTCCCCGGGTGGCGAGCGGGGACCGGCCACGGCTGCGCCCCGCCGGGCTTTGTGCCGCCGGGGATAACGGATCCCCAGCCTCGCGCGCATCCGTCACCTACGAGCCAGGGAAACTCGGCCAGGGGTCGCGGCGGCCGCGAAGGCGCCGCCGTGCAGAGCCCCGGGCTGCTCCGCGCCGCCGGGATCCCCAGGAGCCAACCGGGGAGCTTCGGGGAGCAGCCCAGGCGAGGGGGAAGGAAGGAAGCTCTCACACTCTTACCTCCACATTGAAATACTGCTCCGTTCCGCAGACGGTAGCACATAAAATCCAAAGCAAGGTTTGCAAGAAAAATACCCCGGTGTGATGCACGAAATCCAACCGTCTTCCAGTGCTGAATGTGAGTAAGATCATAGTGGACTGTGCTTCAACGGATGCACGAGCTCCCCGGCGTCCTTCTCCCTCTCTCCCTCTCCCTCCCTCCCTGGTTTCCTGGCAAAAAGAAAAAAAAAAAAAAAAGGAAAAAAAAAAAAAAAGTCCTCCGGCTGGGCAGGGAGCCTGCAGGTTCACCCACGGCCCGGCGAGGGGAGGTCGCGCAGGGCCCGGCGCTCGGCAGCCCCCGGGGAAGCGCGGCGGGGGCAGGCTCAGCAGCAGCCTGCGTTCACCATCCTCGGGGGCGCGTCGCCGGGAACGTGGCGCCCAAGTTCACCCGCGGTTCCGGCTCCAAGCGCCCAGTCGCAGCCGCAGCAGCAGCCGCCGCCGCCGCCGCCGCCGCCGCCGCCGCCACCAGCCCGTGCGTCCTCCTCCTCCTTCTCCTCCTCCTCCCCCTGCTGCTCCTCGTCCTCCTCCTCCTCCACCGCCCACTCCGCCGCCGCCGCTGCTGCCGCCTCCTGCTCCTGCGGGAAGGGCCTCCGCCGCTCCTCGCCTCTCGCCTCGGCTTCTCCTTGCCTCCTCGCCGCGCTCCCCTCCAGAACGTTCATCCGTAATCTACATAACTCCTCCTTCCCGGGCTCCGCCGAGTCTCCGGCCCTCCGCGCGCGCGCACACGCGCACACACACCCCAGCGCGCGCGCGCACACGGATCTGCACGGGAGCACACACACACACGTGCACACCCCAGCGCGCGCACACACACGGATCTGCACGGGAGCACACACACACACGTGCACACCTCAGCGCGCGCACACACACGTGCACACCCCAGCGCGCGCGCACACTGATCTGCACAGGAAGACACACACGTGCACACCCCAGCGCGCGCGCACACACAGATCTGCACAGGAGCACACACACACGTGCACACCCCAGTGTGCGCACACACACGGATCTGCACAGGAGCACACACACACGTGCACACCCTAGAGCGCGCACACACGTGCACACCCCAGCGCGCGCACACACACTGATCTGCACAGGAAGACACACACGTGCACACCCCAGCGCGCGCACACACACAGATCTGCACAGGAGCACACACACACGTGCACACCCTAGAGCGCGCACACACGTGCACACCCCAGCGTGCGCGCACACACGGATCTGCACAGGAGCACACGCACGTGCACACCCTAGAGCGCGCACACACACACGTGCACACCCCAGCGCGCGCATACACACAGATCTGCACAGGAGCACACACACACACGTGCACACCCCAGCGTGCACACACACACGGATCTGCACAGGAGCACACACACACGTGCACACCCTAGAGCGCGCACACACGTGCACACCCCAGCGTGCGCGCACACACGGATCTGCACAGGAGCACACACACGTGCACACCCTAGAGCGCGCACACACACACGTGCACACCCCAGCGCGCGCGCACACACAGATCTGCACAGGAGCGCACGCACACACACGTGCACACCCTAGCACACGCGCGCGCACGGATCCCCACAGGAGCACACACACAACTCCACACACGCCCGCGCGCGCTCTCCTTAAAGGAGACGGGCTGCGAAGGGGAGCCCCAGCCCCACCCCACCCCCACGGCGGCGCGCCCTGGAAGTCAGCAGGCCCCGCGAAGGGCCCCGGCTCGGGACCAGGTCCTTAACCTGCCGCCCGAGCCCCTCGCCCGCGGGACGCGAGCCCGGCAACCTGGGCCGCTGCATCCTTTCCTCCCGCTCCCCCCGCCCCGCGCCTGGAAACCAGTGCGCCCCTCCCCCTCCGGGACTGGGTGCGGCGCCGCCTAGCACCCCGGGGAGGGCCGGGGAGGGCCGGGGGGAGGGTTGCCGGGGCCTGGAGGGCGGCGGGCCGGCGGCGATCCCGCGGCCCCGGAGTCGGAGGGGGCGCCCGAGTCCCCGCGCGCTGCTCCGGCGCTCGTGTCGGCCGCCGCGCTGTCAGGTTTGGGAAGCCCGACGTGGCAGGTCCCGAGCGGCCAAACTTTGTTGGGGTCCGCGGGGCGAGCCCTGCCCGCTGTTCCCCTGAACCTCGTCTACCATCACCACACACACACACACACACACACACACACACACACACACACACACACACACGCCTTTCGGGCTCGGGGAGTGCGCACGGGCTTGGGGGTCGGTGCGGAGTCCGGTACAAGCGAGGCGGGAAGAAAATGCTCTCACTTTGCCAACATGTTCCACCCGCGGGACGGACCTGCACGCCGGGCCGAGGGGACCCCGCGACGCGGTCCCGGGCGCTCCCAAAGCAGGGGGCAGGGGAGGGGGCGGCGCTGGGAAGGAACCCCGCGGCGGGAGCCAGGGGAAGGGCTGGGGAACGATGGTGGGGGGAGGCTGGCGGGCGGGGGAGGCTGCAGCGGGAGAGGCTGGGGGCAGGGGAGAGGCCGGCGGACCTGGGAGGCTGCGGCCTGGGGAGAGGCCGAAGGGATGGGGAGGCTGTGGGCCAGGGAGGCTGGGGGCAGGGGAGAGGCTGGCAGGCTCAGGAGGCTGCAGGCGGGGGAGGCCGGCAGTCCGGGTGGCTGCAGCCAGAGGCTGGGGGCAGGGGAGAGGCCGGCGGGCCGGGGAGGCTGCGGGCGGGGAGAGGCCGCGGACTGGGGAGGCTGCGGACTTGGACCGACGCTGCCCGGGGGCCCAGAGCCCGGCGGTGCGCGGCGGTGGACAGCGGGGCGGCAGCCGCCAGCCCGGGGCAGGTGACGCGGTGGCCCGAGGAGAAGGGGCGGGGGGGGGGGGCGTCTCTGGGGCCCGGGCCAGTAAAGGTGCTTCCCCCGGGCCGCGGGCCGCGGGAAGGGGAGGCCGCGGCGAGGCGAGCGTCAGGGCTGCGGGGTGCGCCAGCTGCCCTGAGACACGAACACCGAACCCGCGCGGGGCAAGTCCGGGGCGGACTTTTTCCTAATCTTCTTTTTCCTAATCCTTGAGATCGTATTGAAAGGAGGGAGATTTTAAAAATTTATGCAAGTTGTACATGAGAAAACATGGTGGTTCTAGAAGGTGAAGTCCTTGTTAAATGGGCCAGAATGTTAGCCGACTCTGTCAAAGAAGTGGAATGCAAGTTGAGTGCTGCTGGCTATCAGCAAAAAGGGATTTCTCACTGTAAGCAACCTTGTTTATCCCAGAAAATAACCTGAGCTCAGAATAAAGAGATGTAGAGGATAAGGTGCGGGGAGGAGCTTGCAAAGAAATACTGAGTTTACGTTTCATCAAATAGTCAAACAAGGATTGCTAAACCGTTTTAGATAGGAATGGGTACTAAGAAGGGTTATCTTCAGAATTATGCATAGGATTGGCGACACAGAGAGACTGGGTGCAAAGAGGTAATGATTTTAAAAGGCTGGAGTCCAGCCGTGAAAATGTAAGGGCCTATACGAGTGAGGTGTCCTTGGAGACTTATGCTTTCGAGGAGCGATTCTAAGGGAAACAAGAGTAAGGAATCAGAAATTCAAAAGATAATCTCAAATCAGTGATTAGTAATGATGGCAAAATTTTTACAGACGTTTATTAAATTCACTGGTGGGCATTCAATGAGCAGTGAATGAGTTAATGTGTGTTCAAGGCTCTAGAAATACTAACAGAAATAAAATACTGAGACCGACATGTGATAATTATGGCAATGTTGTAAGGACTCCGCAGGTAATTGCATATGCAGGATGGTTCAGAACAGGGTGGAAGGTGGTAGCTGATTTTCCTCGAGGTCCTTGGAGAAAGCGTCACAAAAGTACTGGTTTCCAAAGAGAATCTTGAAGAAAGAGTAGAAATTTACCAGTCAGATGAGAAGGGGAGGGATATTTCAGATCTGTGTGCAGTGGAGGAGGAACCGTACAAGATGAATCAGGAGCACTACAAACGGTTTGTTGGGGCTGGAGACCAAGGTGTGTGTAAAGCAAGGCCAAGGTCAAAGGTGGCAGAGATGATTTCAGGGTAAGTCCCATGTGCCATTTCAGGGTTTAGACTTTACCCTGAAAGAATTCTTAAAAGAAGATAATTGAATTTTCCCTACATTTGTTGTATGTTTGCCAACTCTGCGGAAACAGTCGCCTTTTAGAAGTTCATACATTTCTTTCTTTCTTTCTTTCTTTCTTTCTTTCTTTCTTTCTTTCTTAATTTATTTTTATTTATTTCTCCAAACGTTCTATTAAGCACTTAATATCTACTATCTTTGTAGACCTTCTATCTGTGCTAGTCTAATATGCCTGATGCAACAGTTCCCCATATGGACTCTACTGGGCACCTGTGGAAATGCAATCACTCTCTTTGCCAGGTAAGTTTGTTAGTCTGTCTCTCATCTGTAACGTAGGCTTGTCTTTTAAGAGTCAGAATCACAAAGAAATTCCTACCCCCATATCTTAGTGGTATCCACTTCTTCGTTGGTGGTTCTCACTAGAGAAAGACTTGTTCTTCTAGCCGCGGGAAGTTAAAATATAGAATATCATTCTTCCCTTTAGAGGGTTCATTAAACCTGTCCTCACAACTCTTGGCCCTTGCTGTGTGTGTTTTCTGTCACAATTCCCTTCTTCTCACAATTTCACAAAACTCATGAACAATCTCAAAATTGCAGGTGGATGGAGGACAGAGAATCCAAAAGAAACTAAAGGAAAATGAATAAGAAAGCCAAAGGAAAATAATAATTGCCCCCGGCAAAGGTTAATAGCAGTTCAATAAAATGTTCCTTGGGAGAGAAGGGGTCCGAAGAGTGATGTATGTGACTCCCAAGAGTCAAATGACAGCCACTTACAAGTGAGCAGGTGAGTGGCATGCTGACGTAGGTGAATGATTACAACTACCTAAAATAATATTGGGGGTGAATAATCGTTAAGGAACCCAATTTCTTAATGGACTAGAGCCTTAGAAATGAGTTCTACAGCTTGGACAGTTACATGAACGTGTTCTTCTACGATCATTTCAGTTTATGTGTTTTCTTCTCTATTTGCACCCATTGAACCTGCAGTGTTGTGTTTTGTTTTAATTTCAGAGACTATTGGACGAGTGCTGGGCTATAGGCATTCTCTCGTGCACCTGTTATTAGCAGGGGTTCGCA